AGAGAGAGAGAGAGAAAGGAGAGAAAAACAGAGAGAGCGAGGTACCTTCCCTGTAGCGTCAGGAGCGCGTGTTAGTCCCTCGCACTTGAACCAGGAACTGTCGTGCTGAAAGGTCTGGATCCCGTTGTCAGAAACAAAACTATATATATATATCATAGATTACGGCGTTGGTTTGGGTTGGGGGTGGTTTATACACGTTCAAAGTGTCACCCGAGTGAGATGGATAATGATCAGATATCGGATTGATATCTAAGATTGCGACGCAATGCGATCCAACGCTAGAGCGGTTAAAGAAAGCAGTTCTCCGTCCCTTAATTCTGTCTGACTCGCTTAGAGTAACTTCTGCATCTCCACCGCCAATCGTTCACTACCCCCAACTAGCTCCAATGATTGGACATACATCAAAGGAACTGTCTATTGACGTTAGTCTCGATCGCTGCCTGGGCATCGTACATCGTAAGGAACTCATTTGCTCAAAGACTAATTTTCTTTCTCGCAACTGGCCCCTGGTCTGGCTAATATTTTAGCCTGATCACAACGTGCATGGATAGCAGACGGTATATATAGTACTGGTTGTACATAGTATACGGTGGCATGTTCACGGTGTTTAGTATAATCTAGCACTGCGCTTTCTACGTGAGAGTGAGACGCGAGTGCTGCCTCATCGGCGCAGTTTTACGGTACTACCTAAACCGTAGTCGGTAAGGATGGTTTTCCGTGTCGTTTAAGCCTGTGCCCGTTTATCCGAGGCCCCGATAAAGCGGGGAACACTTATCAAAGACGAGGTGAGCCGATGTAAGGAGGTGCTCCGGATTCTGCGACACAGCAGGATTAAAAGTCAACACGGCCAACTAAAACTGCTCTTGCTTTCTGGACATTGCTTCTGGCGTCGCGGCCCAAAGAAATACAGGCAAACTTGTCAGTAATGGCCACTCAAGGTGACCGACAAAATTGACCTTACTGGGCAGGTGACCATTCTATATAGGCGGCCGCCAACAGGTTTAATTGTGTGTACAAATTACGTATGGAGATAGCGTGCGTGCGTGCGTGCGTGCGTGCGTGCGTGCGTGCGGGCGGGCGTGCGTGCGTGCGTGCATGCGAGCCTGCGTGAGTCCATGCGTGCGGGCCAGCGTGATTGCGTGCGTGTGTGTCGTCGGCCTACCTCGGTAATGCTGTGTGCATAGTTCTCGCCCCGCTTCCAACTGCCGAGCTTGACTTTCTGAATGTCCCACGGCAGGTCCCCGTTGCAAGCTTCTGTGGCAAGAATGAACGTGTCGGGGAATTCTTTATGTGTGTCGCTGAGGATGCTGACCGGGACGAGAAAATCTATGTACCAGTGGATAGCTATGCCCGACACGAATTTGGCCGCCTCGGGATCGGACAAGACCTGTAAGACGAGAAGGATTCAATATAAACGGATCGCTAAATCTGGTTGTATGTTGAGGATGGGAAATAGTGAGCAAGGTATATACACGCACGCATGCACGCACGCGCACACACACGCGCAACCGCGCCTATAATATGCGTGTTAAAATGAAAGATGTGTCGATATATACTATACTACGATGCATAATATGTTCTGACGATACGCCAGTATAATAATAATATGCAACATTGAAAAATGGCTGTGAGACATTCACTGCGCGAAGGAGAAACAAAGCGAAAGTCGTTGAGCGTAAATGTGTCAATGCAGCCCAAGGGCACGTTGTCGCCTTTACTCATAGACCGTTAGCAGAAAAATTTATATAGAAGATTAATATTACTTAATACCATCTCTCTCTTCACAAAATCTCGAGGCCATCCAGCCGACAGAACGTAATGCCATGCAACCCAAAATACCAAATCAGAAGTTATATTAATGTTTAACAACTATTCCAACATTATTTATTAATTAGAAACAAACTCGTCATTAGTTATGGTAAAAACTTCATACGTAGAAAATTACATAGATGTTCACGAATGCTTACTCTATAACATTGTCATATACATGCATTACATTTTTTTAATTTAAAATAATGTATAGGCTGCATATAAATATACATTTACATTCTTCCCTGTGAATATATTTACTTCCAACATTACAGCAATAAAGAACGAAATAAATAACCATTACTGGCAGACGATTCGATACTCCTATTTCATCTTCTGCATTCTGAGAAATAGATATTTATTAGTAACCGGTTCCATGACTTTTTCACACCAATGGTTCAGATAAAGATATGCTGATAATATGGATCACAACAGTCTTACTGACAAAACTTTTCCACGTGGCCCACAGCCCCTATAACCACGCATCCACCCTGTTCATGTTAGATTAACCCTTTCTACATTGATGTCTTGTCTTCTGCTTTTCCAGGATCTGAACAACTGGGCGATTGGATGGACAGACTGGAATCTGGCATTGAACACAAACGGTGGCCCGAACTGGGCGAAAAACTTTGTTGACAGTCCCATCATTGTAAACGCGGAGACGGACGAGTTCTACAAGCAGCCCACTTACTACGCGATTGGACACTTTAGGTGAGTATAACAGTTTACCAAACGCGTAGACACGAATTAGTTTTTCCGATAAGGCAGGAGCGACGTGACAGTGCTAGCTTCAGGTGATTATTACCGTTTACCAAACGTGCAAATACGAACTAGTTTTTACCGCGAGGTAGTAGTTAGTACTACAACATAACAGTGACTCCGGCATGAGATATCGGGGCCCCGGGGGTGGGGCCGCTCTCGTGCATTCATGCACGCACCTCTCATGCCAGCAGAACCTCAAAGTCTGAGCTTCCCTCCAGGTTCCTGGTACCATCCCTGTGCATTCCACTGTTTTAGCGTGTATGTGAACACATTTGGGACTAACAGGGTTTACTAGAATCCCACCACTCCACCACAGAGTCACCGCAGTAGACGTTAGATGAGCGCTGTCGCTCCGCGGCACTTGTTTACAATTGTGTATTCGACTTTTGAAAGCTACATCATGCATACATGTACGTGTTTCTATCTAGGTCGAGTTGCATTGATATGATCAAGAGCTAATGTGGAGATTTCAGGGGGGAGTGAAGAGTTGTGGAGTTCAGGGGGGATGACGTCATACAACCAGAGACCAACCACCGCAACAGAGGTGGAAAGTTTTCCTACGAGAGGGTGGCGCCAGCCGATGTGGGAGGTCAGGGAGTTGCACCCTCACGTACACGCGCCGGGCGAGAGGGTGGCGCCAGCCGATGTGGGAGGTCAGGGAGTTGCACCCTCACGTACACGCGCCGGGCGAGAGGGTGGCGCCAGCCGAGCACGTGGCAGACAAGGGGGTTGCATCACCTGTACACGTGTTAAGCGAGGGGGGACAACGGCCAGGCACTCAAGGCACGGGACAGGGAGGCGCCGCCTGGATCCTACGTCACCGCTGGCTCCTATATAAGCAGCCAAGATCCAATGGTAAAATCAGTCAGTCTTTGGACGGCCACGAACGCACGAGTCAACGAGTCAGTCTTCGGACGGCCACGAACGAACGAACGAACGAACGAAGGAGCAAACGAACGAACGAGCGAACGAACGAACGAACGATCACGCTCGAGCCAGAGCGCACACACACCGTCGGAGGGAAAACCTCGCACAAGCAGGACGACGCCCGAGAAGGTATACCTTATACTAAGGAAGCCATAGCCTACACACGACAGGGAGACACACTGCCAACCCACGAACTCGCGCCGAGCCGCGAAGCACACGACTGGGAGAGACAGAGACGGCTACAATATTAACCTGTAGAATAGCTAAGAGAAGTAAACGTGTAATCGCCTAACGAGATAACGTAAACGTGGCACGAGCAATACATATTATATATATATCTATAGGCTATATTCGAGATACGTGCAGTGAGTGTTGTGTTATTCATGTTATCCATATATGATGAATAAATCCATCAGTTGTATAAATACTATCTAAAGACTTCATTTTCTTCATTTCACTCTGGGTTTTCCTGCTACTGCATCACCGTCCTACCTTCGCGGTAGGAGCGAAAAATGATCCCGACACAAATATATTCCGCGTGCTAACCACAGCGCGTGGGAAAAATCCAGTGTGGTCACCCCTAAGGCCACGTACTACACTAATAAATACCTAATAAATGAGGTATTTATTTAATAGCTCTTGATATGATTGCACCTTCTACAAGTGAAGTATGTTTGTAATTGCCACACTAAAATGACTCATGGGAATATTTTCATTCATATTTATATAATATATATTACGTTCTAGAAGATTGGGCGGTACAAGTGTCTTAATTAAGCCATGGATCACATTAATGCCCTATAGCTCCATTCCTGTTTCGTGAAATTCTCTGAGCCTCGTATATTTTGGAATTAATTATACCAACATATACTGTGATGCTGCATGCCTGTGTAATATTATTGCTATATGACTCTGCATGATTATTAATTGTGTGTTTATACTATCCGGAATCTATCAATATAGATCTATTGATAGACTCCTGATATTATATGGAATGACTGTGGTTTGATATACCATCCCCCTTTACACATACACAGAAACTTGGAGTGGCAGAGCTGTGCCAAGGTGGATGACTGTATAGCAGACACAATCAATAATTTTTCTTTGCTAGTGAGAGTGTGCGGTAGCCATGCACAATTGTGTGAAAGCAAAAGCATCCTATACTAGTATAGTACGTTGTTGCACGTAGCGGTAGTGCTGCACCGGCGGTGGCGTGAGTACGGCAGTCCACACGTAATCGCGTATTGTACACACACGACAGCCATCGGTACCGGTCACCCATGACGTTCCGATGGATAAGTTAATTGCGAGCACCCTCCTCCTTTCGTCTAGGAATCGCAGCGGACCGATCCACGGGGTAGCAAAGCGGACGACTCAGCGTGCAGGCGGGCCTGCAGTGTAGCTGGGTCGTGCCACGCGCCCCCTGCCAACATGAGGGACATGGATATGGCGCTCGTCTACCTGCTAAGGGAGCACGATCTGCCCGCAGAATTCCGCATACAGCCCGTAAAGATTGAAATTAAGGATCCAGTGTGGGACTTCGCTGCCGGTTGCTTTGGTGGTGAGTGGAGCTGCCTGCAATATCCTAATATGTGTGTATAGCCTGCAGCGTTTCGATCATTGGCTGGCAGGTGAACTCGGCAAATTGTGTCTTTTCATAGTGCTACTGTATCCTGGGAGGAATGCCCGACTATGTGTAGAGACTTGAATCCCTGCAGAGTGTTATCATACTGTAGGAAAAAAATACCTGACTATGTGTGGCTCCAGACTTGAATATACCTGCAGAGTATTATCATCCAACCAGGTGTATGTGATTATTGATTTGGTGCCGAAACTTCCCCCTCCAACCACATAATACCATATATATTTTATATTTTAGGTAGCGCTGGGGTCTTGGTTGGTCATCCCTTCGACACTGTTAAGGTAAGGTTTACTGAAGAATAGTTTACATGTTAGGCTGATCCACAATAAATAAAAAAGGAATCTGAACCTTGTTTGAAGGAAATTCATTCAGGATAGTGGCAGATTTCATTAATTTTCGTCAAATTTCTAACCCTCCCTCATGCCAGCAGCTTCATGCCTGGTGCGCTCGCATTAACCACCTCGTTGTAAAATTCTGGCTTACTTACTACGACTGGTCCAAAAGTTGCCAGTTCCAGTAATCCACATCTTAAAATTAAGAGGATCAGTTTGTAGCCAAAAAAACTTCCTCATAAGGAATTCATTCATCAGAAAATGTGGGGAAATGCTACATTCCTAAATTTCAGAAAGCAAATCCCATTATTTTTGCATTCCCACAAGTGCATTACTATTAAATTTATGTACAGTAACACAGCAGGAAAAAAACTGAGTAGGTGAGAAAAATAATAATTCAGCCAGTAACAGTTTTAAAACAAGCCTCAGGTTATGGCAAGCAGACATATTTTGAACTACCCTTGACATTGAGCCAGTAGCTCAGATCGATTTGTGATGCATTATGTCTTCAGCCAAAACCATGGCTGGCTTTTATTGCGTGAGTCGATGTCTATGAATTGGTTCCATTATTATAAGCCAAGGCACGTACTTCTCATGTCACGTTACTATCAGAGATAGATCCTGTTTGTGGGGCTTTGGCGGCTAACTGTGCTTTAATGTTTACAGTATACATTGTGCTACAGATTCGCCTCCAGACACAGCATGCACTGCATCCCGTGTATAGCGGAACGTGGGACTGTTTTAAGCAAATCATTCAGAAAGAATCGGTAAGCAGTATACATAGTACCTGCTGAGGTCAATGGAGTTCTATTGAATGATAATAATCAGGTAATTTGTTAATGGATCTACACTGCAGCGAGCTCTCAAAATGCCTCCTGTCTACTGTATTGTTATCATTGCCACTGTGAAATTAATAAATGTTTATTACAGTGAGCTTCGAATTTCACCCTATCTAATGCAATGCTGACATCTCTACTGTACAGTCCAGTGTGATATTTACAACAGATTTAGGTCCGATTGTCAGAATAACCATCTAGTTTGCGGTTAAAATTCACAATTTATAAGCAGATATTTATCTTATTTTCACAAATAGGATGCATATTTTTCTACCACAATTACCACAATTTTCATCAAAACTATCTTGTTTAGTAATTTCATGATAACATGATATATATAAAAAAAGCTTTTCGCTCCTATTATTTTCATACTTAGCAACAAGGCTGCTTAAAGGTAAATCAATTTCTCACATATTATGTTACCAGTTGCTTCTAGATGCTGTTACGCAGATGAAACCCTGCAATCATTGAGCGACTCTCCTGCAGCGCAATAATTTTTTATCAAATCTGCAGATCATGGGTCTTTACAAGGGCATGTCGTCTCCCCTCGCCTCTGTTGCCTTCATCAACGCCATCGGGTTTGGCATCTACGGCAACATGATACGTTGTTTTGACGACCCCGACTCGCTGCGGAGCCACTTCCTTGCCGGCATGGCAGCCGGCGCCGTGCAGTCAGCAATCCTCAGTCCGATGGAGCTCACGAAGACGCGCATGCAGATTCAGGGCCAGGGCAAGCCGGCATGGTTTTACTACCGCTACGCGTGGAAGCGGCAGGCCGTCTACCGCAACCCAGTCGACTGCGCGATCAAGCTGACGCGCGCCGACGGCCTGCGCCGTGGCTTCTTCAAGGGCTTCTGGCCGACGCTGCTGCGCGAGACGCCCGGCTGCGGCGTCTACTTCACCGCGTACGAGGTGATGTGCCGCGCGCTCGGCGGCGGCAACAGCGACAAGGTCGGCCCGCTTGGCGTGCTGCTCGCCGGCGGACTCAGCGGCATGGTGTCATGGACAGTGACGTACCCGATCGACGTCGTGAAGTCGCGCTACCAGGCGGACGGCGTAACAGCGCGCACGTACACGGGCGTGATGCACTGCATCTTCTACAGCTACCGCACCGAGGGCGCGCGCATGTTCTGGCGCGGCTACGTGGCGACGATGATACGCGCGTTTCCCGTCAACGCGGCGACGCTCGCCGTCGCGACGTGGTTCCTACGTGTCGCGCGCAAGAAGGACAGGAGGGCGGAGGGAAGCTCAGACTTTGAGGTTCTGCTCGCATGAGAGGTGCGTGAACGCACGAGAGCGGCCCCACCCCCGGGGCCCCGAAATCTCATGCCGGAGTCACTGTTATGTTGTAGTACTAACTACTACCTCGCGGTAAAAACTAGTTCGTATTTGCACGTTTGGTAAACGGTAATAATCACCTGAAGCTAGCACTGTCACGTCGCTCCTGCCTTATCGGAAAAACTAATTCGTGTCTACGCGTTTGGTAAACTGTTATACTCACCTAAAGTGTCCAATCGCGTAGTAAGTGGGCTGCTTGTAGAACTCGTCCGTCTCCGCGTTTACAATGATGGGACTGTCAACAAAGTTTTTCGCCCAGTTCGGGCCACCGTTTGTGTTCAATGCCAGATTCCAGTCTGTCCATCCAATCGCCCAGTTGTTCAGATCCTGGAAAAGCAGAAGACAAGACATCAATGTAGAAAGGGTTAATCTAACATGAACAGGGTGGATGCGTGGTTATAGGGGCTGTGGGCCACGTGGAAAAGTTTTGTCAGTAAGACTGTTGTGATCCATATTATCAGCATATCTTTATCTGAACCATTGGTGTGAAAAAGTCATGGAACCGGTTACTAATAAATATCTATTTCTCAGAATGCAGAAGATGAAATAGGAGTATCGAATCGTCTGCCAGTAATGGTTATTTATTTCGTTCTTTATTGCTGTAATGTTGGAAGTAAATATATTCACAGGGAAGAATGTAAATGTATATTTATATGCAGCCTATACATTATTTTAAATTAAAAAAATGTAATGCATGTATATGACAATGTTATAGAGTAAGCATTCGTGAACATCTATGTAAGTTTCTACGTATGAAGTTTTTACCATAACTAATGACGAGTTTGTTTCTAATTAATAAATAATGTTGGAATAGTTGTTAAACATTAATATAACTTCTGATTTGGTATTTTGGGTTGCATGGCATTACGTTCTGTCGGCTGGATGGCCTCGAGATTTTGTGAAGAGAGAGATATATATATATATATATCATAGATTACGGCGTTGGTTTGGGTTGGGGGTGGTTTATACACGTTCAAAGTGTCACCGGAGTGAGATGGATAATGATCAGATATCGGAGTGATATCTAAGATTGCGACGCAATGCGATCCAACGCTAGAGCGGTTAGAGAAAGCAGTTCTCCGTCCCTTAATTCTGTCTGACTCGCTTAGAGTAACTTCTGCATCTCCACCGCCAATCGTTCACTACCCCAACTAGCTCCAATGATTGGACATACATCGAAGGAACTGTGTATTGACGTTAGTCTCGATCGCTGCCTGGGCCCGTTGTCAGAAACATCGTAAGGAACTCATTTGCTCAAAGACTAATTTTCTTTCTCGCAACTGGCCCCTGGTCTGGCTAATATTTTAGCCTGATCACAACGTGCATGGATAGCACACGGTATATATAGTACTGGTTGTACATAGTATACGGTGGCATGTTCACGGTGTTTAGTATAATCTAGCACTGCGCTTTCTACGTGAGAGTGAGACGCGAGTGCTGCCTCATCGGCGCAGTTTTACGGTACTACCTAAACCGTAGTCGGTAAGGATGGTTTTCCGTGTCGTTTAAGCCTGTGCCCGTTTATCCGAGGCCCCGATAAAGCGGGGAACACTTATCAAAGACGAGGTGAGCCGATGTAAGGAGGTGCTCCGGATTGTGCGACACAGCCGGATTAAAAGTCAACACGGCCAACTAAAACTGCTCTTGCTTTCTGGACATTGCTTCTGGCGTCGCGGCCCAAAGAAATACGGGCAAACTTGTCAGTATAATGGCCACTCAAGGTGACCGACAAAATTGACCTTACTGGGCAGGTGACCATTCTATATAGGCGGCCGCCAACAGGTTTAATTGTGTGTACAAATTACGTATGGAGATAGCGTGCGTGCGTGCGTGCGTGCGTGCGTGCGTGCGTGCGTGCGGGCGGGCGTGCGTGAGTCCATGCGTGCGGGCCAGCGTGATTGCGTGCGTGTGTGTCGTCGGCCTACCTCGGTAATGCTGTGTGCATAGTTCTCGCCCCGCTTCCAACTGCCGAGCTTGACTTTCTGAATGTCCCACGGCAGGTCCCCGTTGCAAGCTTCTGTGGCAAGAATGAACGTGTCGGGGAATTCTTTATGTGTGTCGCTGAGGATGCTGACCGGGACGAGAAAATCTATGTACCAGTGGACAGCTATGCCCGACACGAATTTGGCCGCCTCGGGATCGGACAAGACCTGTAAGACGAGAAGGATTCAATATAAACGGATCGCTAAATCTGGTTGTATGTTGAGGATGGGAAATAGTGAACAAGGTATATACAGGCACGCATGCACGTACGCACGCACGCACGCACGCACGCGCACACACACGCGCACACGCGCCTATAATATGCGTGTTAAAATGAAATATGTGTCGATATACACTATACTACGATGCATAATATGTTCTGACGATACGCCAGTATAATAATAATATGCAACATTGAAAAATGGCTGTGAGACATTCACTGCGCGAAGGAGAAACAAAGTCGTTGAGCGTAAATGTGTCAATGCAGCCCAAGGGCACGTTGTCGCCTTTACTCATAGACCGTTAGCAGAAAAATTTATATAGAAGATTAATATTACTTAATACCCGTTTTGTTTCTGACAACGGGATCCAGACCTTTCAGCACGACAGTTCCTGGTTCAAGTGCGAGGGACTAACACGCGCTCCTGACGCTACAGGGAAGGTACCTCGCTCTCTGTTTTTCTCTCTCCTTTCTCTCTCTCTCTCTCTCTCTCTCTCTCTCTCTCTCTCTCCTCTCTCTCTCTCTCCTGCTCTCTCTCTTCTCTCCCTCTATTTCGTACCTCTATGATCTTCTCTCCTATTCCGCATCTCTCTCTCATCTCTCTCTCTCTCTTCCTCTCTCCTCTCTCCTCTCTCTCTCCTCTCCTCTCTCTCTCTCTCTCTCTCTCTCTCTCTCTCTCTCTCTCTCTCTCTCTCTCTCTCTCTCTCTCTCTCTCTCTTTTACTCTCCCTTCTCCCCTCCTTTTTTTTCTCCCCTTTTTCTCCCCCTCTTCCCCTCTCTTCCTCCCGCTCTCTCTCTCTCTCTCTCTCTCACACTCTTTCTCTCACCACTCTTGCCCACTGCGGTAACATGAGGCGTTGATCGTCGAGTATCATTAGTTTAAGTTTTCCGTAGCCGCCGGCAGCGAGTGCCGGCCCGAGATCGCTGGCGATGAAGTCTCTCTGCTGTTCGGCAGTGAACGCCATCGCGTTGAACGAGAAGTTCTTGATCCTGCCATCTAGCGGCTCATTTTGCGCCGTAATTCCCCAGAAATGTACATCGTTGGCGGCATACTCGTCAAGAAACCTGAAGCGGGAAATATGATGCAAGAGCTGCTACGACGGTATATTATGGCTAGCAATGAAGCCTAAAATTTATAGGTATACCATCCGGGTTCGATAAGAGTTTGACACGATTATAGGTTTCAAACTGCAATCTTGCGCACGCCCACGGTCTGCCATCGTTACCTGCCGTAGTTGGCTTGTAGCAGCTACAGCGCACATAGATACGGCTCGAAAGAATTTGTACCTCACAAAATAGTTCGCCCACGTCTTGTAGTAAGGCCCGCCCGGCTGACCCTTGAGTGACCCTTGACCTGCGAGGTCGTTGTTGGTTTTCATCCATGCCGGTGCACTCCACGGACTCGCATAGAGCGGGATAGGGGACCGCGACATGGACAGTGCTCTCTTGATGACAGGAATCTGCAAGAGTTGTAAGCCAACCCATTTTGATCACTTAATTATAGTAGCATCGGCTGCTATAAGCACAGGAGAGGCGGACCGCAAAACACGCGTGCAGCGACCGTGAAACATGCGTGTAGTGGCCATGAAACACGCGTGTATAGCGACCGCAAAAACTAAACTACAAACTTTCTGTTTCAACAGTAAACCTACATCGTTTTTTGACGTTGGCAATACATTGGATATGCACATTCTCACGCATGTGCACATACATGCACGCACGCTCGCTCGCACGTACACACGCGCGCGCACGCACAGACGCGTACACTCGCATATGCACGCAAACACAAAACTTAGCGCTCAACTCTTCTAACAGAGTAGGGCTATATAAGCGAAGCTCAAAGGTAGGCCTATATCATATATAGAGGACTTCGACTAAGAATGAGTTTATTTCGTTTAATTAACCCAATTCGATATCGTCCGGGTTAATCCACTGCATTCCTTTCAAAATCGCACGCATACTTTGTATTCCAGGTCCTCGCTGGCAAGGGAAAAATGCGAGAGCATAAAGTCATCCTCCGTGTCGTCGTACGTATACTTGCGCGTGGAGAAATCGCATCCACCCATCGGAACCCTACCGATCGTGTACTCTATACCTGAAATCACGCGACACGCGTGTGGAAATGCGTGCATGGTGGTGCACGATCACGAGATTTGTATAAGATTTACATATGCAAGGGTTAACAATGACAAACAATTACATGACGACATTTACAAATGACGATTACAAATAACGATTACAAAACACGACAACATTTGTCATTATTAACGTCTGATATATGTATATCAAGATTTGTCCTGAAGAATGTTCTCGCAAATTTCGCACATGATGCGCGACGCGTATTTACCCGTCTCTCCGAAATATGACTGTAGAAGGTTGTTCTGAACGCCACTCGTTACGTTGAGAATGTTCATTGCAGCAGCGTCCGTAAACGCCCCTCCAAATCCAACAATCGTCTGGTACGTGACGGACTTGTTCAGCCTGAAAATTACATCCAGTCCTGGCGGAAGAAGATATTGAAATTCTGAGTTAGCACAGGCTATTACCAGCTGTAAATCATCTTCATTGGTTCATTGGTGACAATGATAAGCTTGATAAAATTCCCGTAAATCAGTAGTTATTTTGGGAAATTTCAAGGCCATACGCCGAACA